TAGCTACCCGGCCGGCCGGCGAGCGCGGCGGTTTTGCGTGGCGGCGGGCGCGCCCGGCTCCTCCTGCTGCCGATCTCTGCAGCGCCTGGGCCAACCAGCGAGGAAGGAGGGAGGAGCGGCAATCCGGGGAGGCGGGTGGGTGGGTGGGTGCTTGCGTGGGGCGCTCGGGGTCTCGGTGCGGCACTCGTGGAAAGGCGCCCGGGCACGGTGGCCAGAGATTACTTCTCGACCCATAACCGGCACCCGATGTCTGTCTGTCTGTCTGTCTGTCTGTGCGTCTGTCCCTCCCTTCCTTCTACCTCTCTCTCTCCCTTCCTCCCTCCCGATCTCCTTCTCCCTCTCCCTCTCCCTCTCCCTCTTGGTACCTAAATTTGGGGGTTTGGCCCACCATCCAGAGGGGGCGGAGTCTCTGCTCCCCCACCCGCACCCCCCACCCCGCCTACTCCCGCACCTTCCCTAGTCGTGGGGTAGCAGAAGAACACCGTGCCCTGACGAGTTAGGAGCGATTTTGTGTTCTGGGACCCCGTGGCTGCCCCTGCGCAGGCTGTGAGTGCCGGCGAATCACCAAAGCCTGAATGAAGCGTCTGGGAGAAGGAAGAGCCAAGCGCTGGCAGCGTGGATGGGGGGGGGGCATCATCTCTCTCCTGCGCCCTGCCCCTTCCCACCCACCCCCCGGCCAATCCCCCCGCTGGGTCGCCGGAGTTGCCACAGGATTTGTCTGTGGACACAGACTCGGAGGTGTCCCTGGCTTTGGGAGTCTGGGATCCCTTTGGCAACCTTACTTTCCCTTCCTGGGATTTGCTCCGTGATGGCTGGCCTTGGCCTTGGGTAATTAGGACCCAGAACTCGACGAGGCTGTTCTGGGAAGGTGGGCGGACCCAGCCCCAAGGCCAACTACATTGTAGGGAAGGGCAAATTGGAGAGCTGGAAAAACTAGGTTAGTGGTGCGAAGTACTCTTGGCTCTGCAGGGTGAAATGTCTAAACCTCTTTCATACTTCCACTCAAGATTTTCACTCTCAATTAAACATGTCCTTCCCCTTCACCACCTCAGCAGCTAAAAAAACCATCTTCTCATCGGCTTTCCAAAATTAAGGGAACTTGTGTCCTTTTGCCCTGTGGAAAGACAAAAGTATCCTTAAAGAAAAGATTACATATTCAGCTTGATGCACTGTGGACACTGCGGTATGAAAGAGTTGATCAGCGGCTTTCCAGAATACAAACTTTAAGGAAGGAAGGGTAGAAGGTTATCAAGATCATTGTGTACCTGAGGGAGATGTAAACAAATGTTAGAAGAGCAAAAACTACCATGAAAGAGGGAACAAAGATTTATTACACACACACACACACACACACACACAACACACATACACAGAGTTTGAAAAAACTCCAATGTCCAAGATAAAATTAATGGTAAATACATTATGGAACTTCAATGCCGCAGCATGAAGTCTATATAAAGGAAATATATGAAGTTTTTAATATTATGGAAAAGGTAACATTATATTTGTAATTTGATCATCTGTGTGTAAAATAAAACACGTAAAACAGTCCTCTGTGCTTAGGGAAAAGAGAGAAAGAAATGCACCCAAATTGAGCAATGACCTTCTTTCATGAGACCCTCATATTTGCATCTTTTTCTTTTCTTCCTTTCTGTATTTATTGAAGTATCTATCATAAGTATACTTTGTTAGGGCTTTATTTATAAAGCAAAACCCCAAAAGAGAAAGTGGAAGAATCTAAGATACCTTTGCACATCTCATGATTTCTTCCAGTTATAATAAGACAATCATACCTGAGTTCTGGGGAAGGTAGTTTAAATCCTAGCACCACCATGTGCCAGCTAGGTGGCATTCTTGATGTCTCAGTTTTCCCATTGATAACAAGGATCCTAATCATCTTTACCTCAGAGAAGGGTGTAAGAACTGAATAATTAAGCTGTATGCCTGTGACTCACACCTGTAATTCTAGCCACTCAGGAGGCTGAGATCTGAAGATTGTGGTTCAAAGCCAGCCTGGGCAGGAAAGTCAATGAGACTCTTATCTCAACTAATTACCAGAAAATCCAGAACTGTGGCTCAAATGGTAGTGCACTAGCCTTGAGCAAAAAAGCTCAGCAACAGTGCTCAGGCCTTGAGTTCAATCCCAAGGACTAGCACCAAAAAAAAAAAAAAAAAGGTAAAAGAAAGAAAAAAAGGAATTGAATAATTGAATAATAATGTGTTTGAAGGGTAAAGGGAGATGCCTGGCATATAAGGGTTATCACTAGTTTTGCTTGGAGTCAACCTGGATGGACATCCTAACTACTGTCTGCAACTTGCTATTTCTTTCTTTTTTTTTTTGTCGGTCGTGGGGCTTGAACTCTGGGCCTGGGCGCTGTCCCCCAGCTCTTCAGCTCAAGGCGAGCGCTCTACCACTTGAGCTACAGCACCACTTCCGGTTTTCTGGTGGTTTATTGGAGATAGGAGTCTCACGATCTCTCCTGCCCAGGCTGGCTTTGAACTGCGATCCTCAGATCTCAGCCTCCTGAGTAGCTAGGATTACAGGCGTGAGCCACCAGCGCCCAGCTTAACTTGCTATTTCTTATAGCCTATTTGTTATAAACATACCTGAACTCCTTCATCCACATGCCCTTGTATATTGACCAATATTGTCTTTTAGAAGTACAAGAGACCTGACATCACCTGTTACCCTTTCACACCCGAAGTCTATGCAGTACTACAAGTTTTCTATTCATGTATATTACACAAGTTGGAAATAATGCAACAGAAAAACTAATCATCTCTCACATTTCTCTCTATATATGAGGTATATATACACACATGTACCTATACATACACACATGCATGTATATACCTATGTGTATATAGAGAATATGTTGAACTTTGTATATAATTATAATATATAAAGATAATATAATATACACCTATGTATATGCATGTACACACATATGTATATGTATATGCATGCATGTGTATATATGCATATATATGAACATATATTCTTACATATAGTTTAAAGCCAAGTGAATTGTCAACTTTGTCTTCTGTTGTTGTTACAGGATGATTCCACCTTAGCATTGAAATAAACAACTGGTAAGTGTTAGGAAACTGAGTCATAATAGTATTAGGGTCAAGAATGAGCAGAAAATGACCTCAACAGACCAAATCAACTTTAACGGAAAGTTGAAGAGGGACACATGGTAACCTGAGGAGAGTAAGGGATGAAGGGTCTTAAGTTCGGAGCTGGGTGAAGGTGGCTGAGAGTACAAAAGCTTTCCTGCGGGCTTGGTGAGTTTGTGGTTTCTGAGTGAAGTAATTTACGCAAGCCTGGTCCCCAGAGCCTGTTGTACAAATCCAACAAGGAGGTCCCTGTTCAGCCAGGTGTGGCATGCTTTGAAACTCAGGCGCCTGTTAACCCAGGGGGCTGGGGGTGGGAGAGTGGACTTTCACATTTTTGGTTTGCAAATTCCCATCAGTAAGTAAACACTGGGGAATCATTTCCATGCCTTGGCTATTCTGAGTGCTTTACAAATATTCATTTATTCAGTCAGCTCAATAATTCAGTGAAGAACCGACTCTGATGACTTCATAAGGCTGTCAAGAAGGTCAGATAAAGTACCATGATTCATTTTGTGGAGGAGTAAACTGAGGCACAAAGGAGTTCCCCCCCTCAGTTAGTAGGAGAAAGAACAGGGATTGAACTAGGAGTTCTGGTTCTAGAATTCATGAATTTAACTGACCCACTTCTTACCTGATTGGTTGTGGGGAAATTACCTGACTTTCTGCAAGGCCTGTAAGAATCCATCTGTCATGCTTAGGAGATAGTTTTAGGTCCTCATGTACTCTAATCTATTTATTGGGCAGTGGAAGAACTCCCAATACTCTGTCCCTTCTTGCTTCTATCTTATTCTATGGGCTTTCTCTGCCGAAAGCCAAGAAATGGTGAAAGAAACAGAAATTTAGGGAGAGGAGGTTGGAGACCTCTGATACTTGTTAAGTTTTTGTTTCCTTGTCTACTAGTTTACTTTGTTGACTGGTTCTAGTCCTGGACATACATGATCACACATTGGAGAAGTTAGAAGTGTTTCCCTTGGAAGCTTTACCGAAGGGGAATGGACCTAAAGGACAGAGTTCATTCTCTTGGGATAAGACCCAGCTGTGCTAGGACTCAGCCTACAGTAAAGGTTAACTTTTGCCTTTATTCTCAAGTCCTTTGAATCCCTTCATCCAAATAAACCTTTGGCTAATTTTTGTAGATTGTATTTGCTAATGTGATCCTTTTTGTCCACATCCTCTTCCTCCCCCTTCTTCAACATGTAAGGAGTGCTGGTGTTTCCTTTATTCCCACTGCTTGTTTCAATGTTGACTCTGGACCGTCCAGTTAGTGATTGAGAGGAAACATTGACTTTTGTCTCACAAGGTTAAACAAGCATGCAACAACCTAACTTTCTATATCAATTGGAATATACATGGAAAAGTCACCCAAAAACAAAAAGTAAAATGCCAAGTTCTGAGTGTCTCTCAAAACAGTTGACTCATTGTAATCCACAGTCCTAAAATGGATGCAGTTGGATGACTGCTTCGTCTCAGACTGTGGTGATAGAGAAGGTTACACAGTCCATTCAGCTTCTTAGCAGCTGTTCTAGCTGGAAGAACACATCAGCATATCTAGATCCCTTTCATCTACTCTCTTCTTCATCTTTCAGTCTTCATCTGGATCATTAAACCTTCACAACCATTCCCCAAACAGTATTTTATACAGATGATTTGGGCTGGGACTGGTGGATCAAATCTGCAATCCTAGCTACTCAGGAAACTGAGATCTGAGGATCATGGGTAGAAGCCAGATGGGACAGGGATGTCTGTGAGTCTCTTTTCTCCAATCACCCCAAAAGCAAGACAAAACACAACAAACCGCAAGTGGAGCTGTAGCTCAAAGTGATAGAGCACTAGCACTGAGCACAGAAGCTCGCTCGGTTTAACAGTTTGCACTGCTTTTGTTGAAAAGCATTGACTCCTTACTTGGACCCACAAATTCACTGAAAGCAGGAGGAAAGCTAGGCTTCTTGGCCTACATTTTGTGTTTGCCTTTCCTCTAAGACATTTGGCAATTACCCTGAGTTCCAAGAAGAACAAGACTGACATCTTTATAACAAGAGACTGAAACTTACCTTCATGAAGGACTGAGACTGAAGGATAAGCCACCCTTAAATGAGGACTATGACCTGTATTGA